AATCCATAAAAGTGCTTCGGACAAACACAATTTATCAAGTTGAAAAACTGGTTTGGCATCATAGATTTGATATAAAAAAGAAGATGTGGTAAAATTGCCAATGAGACAACTCTCCACAAGAGACCAAATGACACAGAAATTAACAACTATAGGTCACCGTACGGCCTTCAACAATGAGCAAAGCCCATACCGCACAGTCAGCTATAAAAGGCCCCGAAATGACATTGTAAAATAATTCAAACGAGAAAACTAACGGCCTTATTTATGTACAAAAAATGAACGAAAAACAAATATGTAACACATAAAAAAACGACAACCACTAAATTACAGGCTCCTGACTTGGGACAGGCACATACATACAGAATGTGGCGGGGTTAAACATGTTAGCAGGATCCCAACCCTCCCCTAACCTGGGACAGTGGAGTAACAGTACAACATAAAAACGAACTATAAAAATCAGTTGAAAGAGGCTTAACTCATCAGATGGATAAAAATACAAATACTACAAATACAAGTGGACGTGGCCGGGTACTTGGACATCCCAACAACAAAAAGACACAAAGTACAGATCAGAGAGTACTCGCAGTTACTGACAGCTAGTTCAAAGCCACTAACAACTAATAAAAAAAAATCGTGCATCTAAGACTAAATTATCAATCCGTACACATCCAACATCCAATGGATTTAGTGTAAAGACGTCATAAACAGTCAGAGAAATACATGACCTTGTGCAATGCCAAGATACAGGTATCGACAGATTGTAGATCCATGAATGTGTATATGTATATAACAATAGTAATTAGTTTGCTTTTAATTTACTGATAACAAAATCAATATTAGTACCAATAAAAACAATATTTAATGATCTAATTACAGTGTTGAATTGGTAACCTTTTAGAATCAGTTTATTTAAAGGATCGATAAGTTTACCAGGATCATTTCTAAATTTCCGGGCACGGTAAACAACATTGCCGTAAAAATGAGGATGTGCAATCCCGTTTGAAATAAAGTTTTCTATAGGTACAACCAAACTTCAAAACCAAATCTTTATATCTGTGGAAGAATTTAGTAAAGGGTTAAAGTAATTTGTGGTAACGAAATCCCTGGCTTAATAATTTACCAGTTATACATAGACTACGTTCGTTAAAATCAAAAACGTCACAACAGACACGGGCATAGCGAACGAGTTGTGAAATATAAACACCGTAAGATGGTTCCAAAGGAACATCACCATCCAAAAAGGGAAAATTAACAATAGGGAACGAAAAATCGTCCCTTTTGTCGTAAATTTTAGTGTGGAGTTTCCCGTGTAAAACCGAAATATCTAAATCTAGGAAAGGACAGTTGTTACCGTTTAAATTTGATTTATTTAAAGTAAGTTCCTTTGGGTAAATTTTGGCAGTATATTGAGAAAATTCTTGATTATTTAACGAAAAAATATCATTAAGATAACGGTAAGTATTGTTGAATTTATCAATTAAATGCAATTTAGACGGGTCTTTACTGAGTTTGGTCATAAACTGGGATTCATAACAGTACAAAAACAAGTCTGCTATTAAAGGGGCGCAATTAGTACCCATAGGAATACCTACAACCTGTCGATAAACTTTGCTGCCGAAACGTACATAAATATTGTCAAGGAGAAAATTAACAGCTTCAATCATCTCATCACACCTCCAGTAAGTATATCTAGCATATTTACCTTTCTCATTAGAGAAAAGGATATAAATGAGTTGCAGCTAATATATTTGCATTCAGATTTACCAAACGACCATTTAATTAAATAGTCAAATTTTTGTTTGAAAAAATTGTGTGGAAGTGTAGTGTAAAGAGTAGAAAAGTCGAAACTGTCAACAGAATCAAAAGGACCATCAAAAGCACGCAGGGATGGATTAATCGTAATCTGTAATCGTAATCGATTGTAATTGATTACATTTTTTCCAGTAATCGACAGTAATCTGTAATCGAAGATTTTTTTCGATTACATGTAATCGTAATTTAATCGATTACAGCAAAAATTATGATGTAATAATCGATTACTTTTCGATTACATTTCGATTACTTTAGTAAAATAGTTTGATGAAATATAAACTATTTTAAAAGAAAATATGTATGTATTTAGCACTTTATAGTACAGATAAAATAGAATGTATTGATAAGACTTCAGAGTTTATCAAATGCTTTTTTCTATCTATTGTCTCAAGCTGCATTATGATCAACCAGATCCCCTACCAAATGTTACTTTATATCTAGGTTTTGAAACAAATGGATTTATATGCTTGTCAATAATTCACGACCTTTTATATTAAAATAAGAAAATAGATTTGAAATAAGAAAATATATTTAGAATAAGAAATGAGTCTTAAGTTAAAGTTAAAGTGGTAAGCTTATTTGTATTAAAATTCCTTAAATCATAATTTTCAATAAGAGTTGGAATTTTAGCTTAGAATAGATAATCAGTTGATTCCTTATAATGTTATGATATTAAAATTAAGAAAGTACACAAAATCCTTTTGACAATGAACAAATGGCTATGCATTTAAATTCTTTTTTTTTTCAGAAATAGATGCATGTATCCCATTTTGACACTGTAAATATATATTGTTTATAATTTTTTAGAGAATAAAAAAAAAACTTCTTGTCTTTACTAATCAGATGATCAAAGACTTCTAATCAATAAGATGGAGACTGCTTTCATTTCAATTATGTCTAATTAAGAGGGAGATTTCCATTATTTTGCCCCAGGTTATATAAATTGTACTCCATTGACAGTTTTATATCCTGTAATAAGGCTGGTTATCCAAACAAAAGGATTAATTCATGCACGTCATACTTTGATCTTTATAAAAATTACCTGAACTAATTAATTATTCTATTTATTTTTTTCAGAGGAAACTTCCAAAATTGTAATTAGCTATGTTAAAATATATCAGTTTTTAATGAGTAAAAGCAAAAAAGCTACCCTAAGTTAGTTTGACATCAAAATTTTTGAACAAAACTACAATATAAATAAATGAATGATGCAATGCGAATATGTCATCTCATGTTGAAAAGCCAAAATTTCAAGAACTTTTGAATATTTCTTATCCTCAGTAAGAGATTCCATCTAAAAAACAACTGTCAACTTAAAATTTGGAAACAATGCTTTAAAAGTTGTTTAAGTAAACTTCTAAATTTCAACTATACAAACGTTGAGCAACATAATTGTGTTTAACTTACTTTATTTTTTGGTTATTTTGTAGCATGTAATTGACAGTAATCGAAAAGTAGTGTAATTACTTTTGATAAAGTAATCGATTGCAATCGATTATATACAAAAATCAGAGTAATCGATTGCACAAAAATCCTTCATGTAATCGATTATTAATCGACTACATTTGTCAGTAATCGTGCCCATCCCTGAAAGCACGTAATTTATCTAAAACATCCAAAGAATTTTTTACACTCCAAAAATAGTTACTTCCACTATTTTCATATATTTTATTACAATAGTTTATGATAAGCTCTTTGATAGTAGTTAAGGAACTTGTTAAAAGCACTAAAAAATTAGTTGTAGAACACTTACTAGAGGCTGAGATGAAACGATATTTTACTGGTTTTTTTGTGTAGTGTAGGTAACCAATACATTGTAGGGACCTTCAAATGTTCAGAAGAAGCCTGAAGCTGTGATATGGTTATGATATGTTTGTTAACTATATGACTCTCTGTGGAGCGCACAGACTTGAATGTAGATGAATTTAAAATTTCATTCTTAAAAACGTCCGTGTAGTATTTACGGCATACCACCACCACTATAGTTGGGTATAGCCCTATTTATGCTGTCCTAAAGTCAATATGTGTCGTTGAATGTTTGCAAACTTGAAGGTTTAAGGCTGCTACTACGAACTCTGATAGTTTGAAAATATAGTTTGTTATATTTTCATTAATCAGAATGAATCTATAGTTAGTAATTAGTTTATAATCATGCACACCATTAATACCTTCGTTTTTTACAGCATTGCAGAAGAGTGTCACAAACGAAATGGTTGGAAATGGTTTGGATACTGCTGTTGAGATTGCTGTTGTTGGTAGTACGACGTGCTCATCTTATTTGCATAATGTCTAGTTTGTTTTCTTTGCACTTGTTATGAGTGGCTGGTCACGTTATTACTAGTGACCTAACATTGTCAATAACACATAATTGTAAGTTATGTTGAAATCAGGACACTCCAGTATGTTATAATTGTTATTTGGACTTCAGAGGGACATAGGTTCATAATCCCTGTCAATTCTCTATATCCTCTTCGCCTGTCTGCTCAGGAGATTTAAAACACTGACACGGAATATGAATCCATATCCACTATGAAGATCCAGAATAGCATATAACATATAGATATATACCACATTGCTATCCTTGTAATGCAATCTGGGTTTCGAGTGAATAGTGATGAACATTTATTTCTAATGAGTTTAAAATATGCTTTCAATTCTGGATGAATTTTGGCGTATTTGTTGCCAATTAGAGATTCTAAAAAAAAAATCCAGAAAGAAGTCATCCTTATTATATAAGATTGGATAAACGTCGATTGGCAAACTATACATTGAAAAAAAACAAGACGTGATGTACAATGATATTTAAACAAGACTCATAGGAAACGTTGAATCGAAGTTTGCTTTCAACTAATTTATTAGATTATTGCAGGAAATGGTTTTCAATTAGGTCCAGGTAATATACTGCTGTAAACATAGCTCAAAGGTTGGGTTTTTAAAACTTTCTTACAGATATGCTCTATTAGTAGTAATGAGGTTCATGTCATGTAGTAGAGTAAAAGAGTCAAAATATTGTTGTCACGGATGTCTGTCAAGAAACTCATACGCCTTCCTTGAGAACAGGTAGGTTAATGCTACAATTGACACTTTTGTTAATATTTTCAGATGATAGTACATTGAACTGAAATACGTTTATGAATAAAAGAAGATATATGGAAGTAAAATCTCCGAAATGATACGAAAGTCCATACCTTCAAATCTATAGATCATCGTTACGCCTTTCAGATGAAGAGTCGGGTAATCCACAATCCGCACAATAAACCAATGAGACAACTTCAAAAGATAACGTTATAATATTAGTTAATATCATGGAACGAAAAATAATTATAACAGAATTACAAATTTAAATCTGATTTTTGTACGAATCTGGCACTACCAATTTAACGAGAAAATTTAGCTTTAATATTTGAAATATGATTGAAATTAATACTGGTGATATTCATCGCATGAAGTGATTTTGAAGATATAATGTGATTTTTGACTTCCTTGTTAATAATATTTATGTTTGAAATCTATTCATTTAAACATTAGACGCTAATCGGCTGTTTACATCTTTGTGAACAAACAACAGATACAGCAATAAATTTTATTTTTGAAATATATCTGACTTTGTATATCATAGATGTTTTAAGTCAACAACCTTTCAAGTTATTGCTTACTTTATTGTATTATATTAACTGTTTACATTTATATTATTACACATCCACGTGCATTTTACAATTCACATCCAACGTTTTAGGCAGTTTCATATATGTGTCTTCCCTTACATATCCTATACAATAAGCACTGTTAAAAATAAAAATGATAAAATGTAGCTTTGGGAATATAAACAGTATTATTATATTTGTATATAGATAAAAAGGGATCTGAATTAATTGTCAGTTAGACAGTAATCCAGTTTGGATGCTTATCTTGGTCTTAAGGATGTGCGCTACTCTGTTTCAAAATAACAAGCTTTTTGAAAGACTATAATAAATCGATAATATATACATAAAGGAACTTAAAAAGCAGATAAAAATTAAGGGTCCGTGTGCTTGTTTTCGAGATATAAGCCATTGAAAATTTGGCGGGAAATGATTCTCTCTAGACTTTTCATACATTTAACATTGGCACCTTTTTTCTTTCAAAAACTATGAAAAAATTACAAGGATTTTATAAGATTTTGAAATAAGTCTTTTTAAACTTTTTGTAATGATATTATGAAAAGAAAAGTAGGGGTTAGTGGGCAAAATTTTTTAATGGCACTACATGGATAAAAATAGAGGATTCCGAATATCTGGCAAAAATTCTAAAACAAGAGAAGCGAACATCCTTAAATCAATTCACATATTTATGTCGGTAGTTTCTAACTGATGGCGCGCATGTTTTATCCCAAGATATGACCATCGTGTTTTAAAGTTATGTATTAGAATTTTTCGAAAAACGAAGGAATAGATTACTTCAGCTGTATTCAACTTATTTGGCCTTTTAAACTTTTTTTTATTCTAGCGTCACTGATGGGTCTTTTTGAGACGAAATACGTGTCTTGCGTACAAAGTTTTAAACCTGATATCATTGATGATTTTATTAAGTAAGTTACAAATCTAGAACGTAACAGGTTCATTTTCCAATGGATTCTTGAAAAGAAGTCTACAGTTTAAAAAATATTTTAACACAAAAGAAATCAATTAAGCAACAATTACGAACTCTATCATATGCCTCATCTGAAAACAGTAAAACAACGAAATTTACAACTCCATAATGCAAAGCTACATTAAAAAAGAGGGGAGAAAGATACCAGAGGGAAATTCAAACGCATAAATCGAAAATAAACTGACAACGCCATGGCTAAAAATGAAAAAGACAAACAGACAAACAATAGTACACAGGAACCCCACCAAAACTGGGGGTGATCTCAGGTACTCCGGAAGGGTAAGCAGATCCTGCTCCACATGTGGTACATTAACTTATTGCAGAAACACGTGTACTCACCGTTCCTATAAAAATACAGTAACACAAACTCTATTAAAAACAAGACAAGACAGAAGCAGTTCCTGTCTTACGAGTGAAAGAGACGATTTACTTTTGCATTAAAATCTCTATATATTCTTGAAGAATGAATGACCGTTGTCATACCGTCTCAGAGATGTTAATTGACACTTCATCTTAAGCATCTTTCGAATAGTCTGTTTGCCAGAAAATGAATATTTTGCATGACCTTAAGTTATAGATAAATTATGTCTGTAATGACTGATCCCAACACATAGTCAATAATCAGCAAATATAAAACTGAGATAAAAGGTCAAACAACAGAGAATAAAGCTAATAGGTGTTCAATAATAATGTGTTTATTGCATATTTTAGTTTTATATGCAACTTATTAAATCATTAAGCAAGTGTTAACCTAAAATTACAAAAATATGTATGGAGAATGTAAAAAAGCATGTTCACTTTTTTATTTATCAAGTGTGGCATACAAGACCTTATTACTCTAGAACATTAACTTGCACAAAAGCAAGATTTTGACAATATAGAATTGTCGACGTGTGTGTTACATTTGATAAGGAGAAAAGAGTTTTACATTTGATAAGGAGAAAAGAGTTTTACATTTGATAAGGAGAAAAGAGTTTTACATTTGATAAGGAGAAAAGAGTTTTACATTTGATAAGAAGAAAAGAGTTTTACATTTGATAAGGAGAAAAGAGTTTTACATTTGATAAAGAGAAAAGAGTTTTACATTTGATAAGGAGAAAAGAGTTTTACATTTGAAAAACCTCTCTCACTTGTTCTGTCTACAAAGAGGTCATAAACCTCTAATAAACAACAACTTATTGCCCTTATCTCCAAAGTTTGTGTTCCTTTTAGACAATGAATGTTATAATGGCAAAACGAAAGGAGACAATGCCACATTCCCCTGATTTTTCGTTTATTGTCGAAATGAATAAAAGTGTTCAATCATTTGAAACGTGCTTTTTGAAACTGGATGATTTCTTCATAAATAGGAGGGTGAGAAATCGATAAGTATTTAAACAAATAAACAAAACTTAATAAAAAATAGAGATAACATTTTAAAATTCAGTTCTTACATTATAAATATAGATCCAAAAGTTTAATGTATGATGATGTAGCTTGAAATTTTAGATCGTTTAATATCTATTTCCCTTATGATAACATGCCGTGACAGGATTTCTTTCTTAGTAAAAGCAAACGAAGAAATTCGTGTAGCATTTTGGTTAATTTAATGAGTCATGCACATGTATTACTAAATAGCAATTATATTTTATAATCGTCACTTATATCTCCGCTCCCATGGGGTTTAGCTACCGTCTACAGTAAACAGCAGTACCAACGTACACCTCTTTCAGAATAGGATTCCCGCTAATGTACAACTTAAAACATCCTGTAAGTCACGCAATGTTTCACAGAGTTACAATAGGGTTAAATTGATTCTTAAATTGGTACTTAAATGGGTAAATTGTTTAAAGTAGTTATCGGACAACATAATCATAACATAATAGGAAGAATAATGGTTGTCCTATAATACTTATTGTAATATCATAGAGTAAAACTAAATTGTGCTTTGTGAAAAATGGTATGATCTAACCAGAGATATCAATTTAAACAGTAAAAGCACTATTTGTAGTTTACTTCCAATCATGCGTTGAATTTTCTGAAATTATGTTACCTACTGTGAGTTATTTTGTTTGTTGTTCCCCAGTAGCTTTACAAGCTTATATTATGGTAATATTCTTTCCTCATTGGTGGAGCTCATTAGGTGGCCTGTATGTTTTTTATATCCAATCCTTTTCGTTTGATTGGCAGTAATATCATTGGCAGAAATTGTTTTGAATTATTAAGTATTAGACCATACATGTACAATCGGTTTTATTCATTTGAACTCTAAAACTGTTCATACAAGCATTGCAAAAAACGATACATTACCCTTTGAAAAGACGTCGCACTCTCAATAAGTATTATATTGAAAGTGAAAGTTTTATGGGATTAAAGAATATTTATTGTCTTATTAATTTCATTTTTGAAAAGTTCGACCAAAATAAGTACGGTTACAAGTACATATCCAAGCAATTATTTGACATCGTATTTTGTCCTGAAATGTCGGTTAAACAAATTTTATAATGGCTTAAGCTATCGTATTTATATGACCAGACGCTAGTTATATTTACTTTACAGAATAAGGTTAATCATACAGAATAAATGACAACAAAATACCAAGTATGAATTCATTCTGTCAGTTGTAAACATAGTTCAAACAACGATCAACAATAATGCAAATTGCTTTAAACTTTCCTTCTCGAGCTTTCTGTTATTATTATAGATGACTTTTTTAAAATGAGTGAATAAATTAAATATCATTTTGACACAAAAATTGGACGAACTAGAGACTGGAATTGGTATATTAGATAAGCAAACAAATGATGTGTACTAACTCATATTTTAGTATAAGAAAGATGCTCAATTGTTAGATGCAATTGCCTCTTACTAGCTTCACAATTTAGTAACTGCGAGTACTCTTTATTATTTGTTTTTGTCTATTTGTTAAGTTTGTTGTTGTTCTTTGTGCCGATCTGATGAGCTAAGTTCTTCTAAACTGGTTGCTACAGATTTTGTTATATGTGCTGTTACACCACTGCCCTAGTCTAGGGGTTGAGCGCTCGACAACATGTTAAACCCCGCTACATTCTTTTTTGTGCATGTCCAAAGTCAGTAGCTATAATTCAGTTGTTTTAGCATACATGAGGCCTTTTTTTTTAAATTATTAATCATGTCGTCATGTCAGAGCCTTGTATAGCTTACTATGAGGTATGGGTTTTGCTCATTGTTGGCAGCCATACGGAGAGCTAAATTTATTTTCATTCTTGTCCTGTTGTCTCCGGTGAGGGATAGTTGCCTCATTGGCAATCATACTGCATCTCCTTATTTAATATAGACTCTATTATATATCACGGTAATGGCGATTTGATCAAAGCAGTAAATGGAGTCCTATTTTAGCTCACCCGTCCTGAATATCTTCAGGTGACTTACACATTTTCAACTTCCTATATGTTTCCACTTGGCCGATTCTCAGTAAAAATGTTCCTTTGGTTGTTGTCCATCGCAATTTTGCCTCTGAATTTTCAATATGGATGTGAAAGGCATCTAATTGACTAATACATATACAGTATCTTAGCTAGAATTTCAGGACTTAATGCATCAATTTTAGTAATATTGTTGGAATATTCCATAGAATTTCGTCATTAAAATTGGTATAACTGATTCACACATTTAATAGTATTCTTACACTAGCTATATGAACTGCAGTTTGAAGTAATTGACCTATCCTCAAAAGTCACCTCTTACCATCTGAGTTATGGACATTTATGAATTTGT